TGGCCTGCAGATTCTGATGTGAGAGTTTTCTTTCTCCAGTATAATGCTTTAAGTAAATATATGTGAGAATATTAAAATGCATAATTTCTTATAATAGCAATTAATTGTAAATAATGTAAGTGAAACCACCTTTATAAAAATTGTAACAATGAGACAATTATGATAGTGAAGGAGATCTGATCTGGCTAACACTTGTCTTGCCTTTGGCTTTCAAGCTGCCCTTAATTATTTCTGGGCTTATAAGCTAACTTTGGGAGACATTTACTTTACAGTTTAAATGGTAATAGCCATTCCCCAAAACTTAACCGACTGCCTTAGTAAAGCTACTAAGAAACCACCAGGCTAGAAGGATGGAGCAGCCTGAGTACTGTTAAGGTGTAGACATGAAGGATTGACAGCCATTATTCTGGAGGTCACAAGATATGCAATTTCTCCAATTACTCCTGCAGATAACATCACTATTGTAGAACCTAGGATTGGCCTTTTCAGGTATCTTTTCATATTTCTTGCATGTCTGGCTCTATCATGACCCACCAACTGCTCCAGAGGCCCCATCCAGAAGTGACTCAGCACATAGAAGGACCGTTTTCCACACCCCTATGATTGCACCCGCAACCAGTCAGCACCAAGCACCCATTGCCTAGCTGCTCCCATTCCTTTCCCCAAACTACCTTTGAAAAACCCCAGCCCCCAAATTCTTCAGGAGATTGAGTTAAGTCAGGACTCCATCTCCCAGTTGGCATGGCCAGCACTGCATCAATTAAACTCTTTCTTTACTGCAATGCCATGGTCTCTTTGATTTTGTTTGTGTAGCTGGCAGGAAGAACCCATCAGGCGGTTACATGAATAGCCATCAATAGGGAAAGGATTAAAGTAAGTATGATAAATTTATTTTATAAAGTACTATTCTACCCTACTATGATATCAAAAAGAAGTAGCTCTCTATATACCAAAATAGAAATAACTCAAAATACAAAGTGAAAATGCAAGTTGTACAATAATACATATGATTTATGGAAAATGTGCATTATAAGTATATATCTATTGTAATAGGAAAATAAATCTCAGGATCCCAAAATTGCTAAGCTAAAGGGAAAAGTCAAGCTGGGAACTGCTTAAGGCAAATCTGCCTCCCATTCTATTCCTAAAATAGATAGTTACTAAGATAAAAAAGCTACATACCTCCCTCACCATTTATCTGCAAGGAAATTCCTTGTGGACAAAGGACAGAGCTCAAAGTTATCCCTCTGCTCACTGAGATAAATGCATCTCTGATTGCTTCCTTCGGAAAGGCTAATCAGGAACTCAAAAGAATGCAACCATTTGCCTCTTATCTATCTTTGACCTGGAATCCCCCTCTCTACTTGGAGTTGTCCCACCTTTCTGGACAGAACAAATGTTCATCTTACATGTATTAATTGATGTCTCATCTCTCCCTAAAACGTACAAAACCAAGCGGTGACCTGACCACAATGGGCACATGTTGTCAAGACCTCCTGAGGCTGTGTCACAGGTATATCCTTAACTTTGACAAAATAAACGTCCTCAATTGACTGAAGCCTGTCTCAGATATTTCAGGTTCATATTTTGGGAACCACAAAGGGATTCTGAGTGGAGGTGCCCCTTAGCTTGACAAATCTCCTATTGATGCTTAGTACCAGCCTGAACTATCTTTATGGCGTAAACCAATAGGACAATTTGCAGAGACCTGGAAGGCCCCCTCCAGAGAATCCCTGATCTCCCAAAATTTGGTCGAGAACTAAAGTTTAGCTTGCTGTACAATTCCTTTTTCTGGAGTTTTACTTGCTTCCAATAAGGAAGGCAGGGTCTGCAAAATATCTCAAGCACAGATCTTAGGTTTTACAACAGCGATGTTATTCCCAGGAGCAATTTGGGGAGGTTCAGATTCTTGCAGCTGGAGGCTGTATGTGCCCTAAATCATAATTTCTAATCTTGTAGCTAATTTGTTGGGCCTACAAAGGCAGACTGGTCTCCATGCAAGAAGGTCCCCCCAACCACCGGGAAAGGGATATTATCAATTTTGTTTCAGAGTTAAACTAAATTTCTTTCCAAGGTTAGTTTGGCCTACACCCAGGAATGAACAAGGACAGCTTAAAATTTAGAAGCAAGATGGAGTTGATTAGGTCTGATCTCTTTCACTGTCATAATTTCATCAGTTACAATTTTTGCACAGGTGGTTTCATTAACACACTGAGATGGACAAAAATGATGAGGGCAACAGCAAGCATGCCTTCATTTATTTCTTCTCCAATGCACTTTCTTTCTATAGATTTTCGACCTATATTATTGCATCTTTTCCTTTTTAACTTCTCTTGCAGGACAGGTCTGCTGGTGATGAATATCCTCAGTTCTTGTTTGTCTGAGAAATTATTTCTCCTTCATGTTTGAAGGATAATGTCACTGATCATAGAGGTCTGGTTTGGTACTATTTCTTTCATTATTTTAAATATTATAGCCCCTTCTTTACTTGCATGGTTTCTGCACTGTAATTCTTATCCTTGTTCCTCTGTAGGTAAGGGGTTTTGTTTTGTTTTGTTTTTTATTTCTTTCAGCATTTTCTCTTTGTCTTTCTTCAGTTTGGATATGATATGCCCATGTTACAGGTAGTTAGACAGGCAAGAGTGGGGCAGAAGAAGGGTCTCCCCCCACCCACTAGGACTGTGAGAAGATTATTTAGCAATGATTGGATTGCCTCTCTAAAAGTGAAAAATCGGCAGTTGGTGCCAGGGAGAGGCCATTTCCTAATGGCCCACACCTATTGCACTAAAGTGTTAATTGAATGCAGGCACCAGGGAAAAGCAACTTCCTAGGCATATGCATTAAGAGACAAAATAGCAGAGTATGACCTTCTGGGGGCACTCCACTGGAAAAGAGAAGAAAGCCTCAGAGGGGCATGCATACAACTTTCTAAGCACACTGTGCGTGCTCACTTTCTCTAAGGGTAAGGAGGGCACCTTGCATGTGGGTGGCTCACCTAATAGGAGAATCACGGGAAAAGGGGCAGCCTATAAAGTCCTAGGATCAAAGTTAAACATCGCACCTGTCCTTCAAGTCGCCTGCTTGGGTCTCTTTCAAGCATGCTTTCCTTTATTTCCTGTTCTAAAGCCTTTAAAAATAAACTTCCACTCTTGCCCTGAAACTTCCCTGAGTCTCTTTTTCTGCCTTATGATTCTCAGTTGAATTCTTTCTTCTGAGGAGGCAAGAACTGAGGTTGCTACAGACCCATAAAGATTCACCAATGGTAACTTGGACGTTTGTCACCCTTAACATATTAGGTGCCATGAGACTCCATTATTTGCCACCGATAACACATTTGCCATGTGACTCAGATGTTAAGAGATATCTGTGCCTTGCCTTCTTTGGCTGGAGGCATCCGACCCCCATGTGCAGTTTTTCCTCCTCCTCTCTCTCTCTCTCTCTGTGCTGCTGCTGCTGCTGCTTACAAACAACCCTCAGAACAATTCCTCTTAGCTATAAGTGACTCTGCTTTCCGTGGCTGATTTCTCAACTCACCCTAATGGGTGGCTCACAGGGGTGGGAAGGACCTTAGGGTCCACATCAAGTAGTCCAGAAGCATTAAAAGGCCCTCCTAGATAGGAGGCTCATGAGAGTGGTGAGGCTGAGGCCTAAAAACCATGCAATGTCTGGGGTTTCCTCTGCTTTTTCTTTCCAACTAAAATTGGCTCTTTTCCGAAAACCTGTACCGCCCA